TTTAAACATTTATAATATGATTTATTTCAGCCGCAACATATATGGGGAGTCGATAAAGTCCTTCCACATTTCTAATCAAACTTCAGCTTTTTTTATATTTACATAAAGAAATAAACAAATATGTACCATTTTGGTATAATACTTTTTGCAATTTTTCCGCTAGAGACATTATTCTTTCAGTGTAAAACTTCCATCAGTGTAAATCAAATTTTCCAGAACGGAAGCGAGCGAACCGTTGTTGTGCTACACGAACTGATACAGCATCGTCTCCGTTACTTCACAAATATCATTGGGGCTTGCATGACACTCTTCACTTTTTTATACAAACATTTCAAAATATTACGAATTTCTTCATTATTTTTACTAATTTCTGTAATTTTTTTTAACTTCCCCGAATTGATTTTGTTTGTTAAATGCTTAAAATCTCACCTTTTCAAAACTATATGATATGACACAGGAGATATACGGCTGCCACAAGATATATTGATTCGAAAAGACTTTATCGACTACCAATATATTTTAAGCATATTTGAAACAACTTTAGTTGCGATTTTTTATTTAAACGTAGAAATTTAATTTTTACTTGTAACCTTTTTATAAGTAGAATTATTTTTTATACCTTTTACTATGACTATTTTTTTTAATTGATATTTTTACTTTTTCATTGCAAACTAATTTATTTTCTTCTTAAAATGCTTATAATTTTTTATGACCGTTTTTTTCTATTTTGTAATAAAAAATAGTTCTTAAAATTATATTATCAAAACTTTAATTACACACCGACACAAAGTTCTATTTTCGTTATTCCAGTTTTTTAAGTATATTTTAATTTTCGATTTGATTTGCTGACTAAAAAAGCATCCGAAATTGTATATAGAAAGAAAAAATATTTAATTATTCATCAATATTTATTTTGTCCGATGCAATGCACTTATGCCAACGATTTTTCTATTTCTGAAAACACTTTCCACTTTTTGGAATCGCCTTAAGCCTCTTCAGCGAATTTTATCTCTTCGATGGACTAAAAACGGGTACCACGGAGCGGCAATTTCAGTTTAGGGAACAAGAAAAATTCACAGGGCCAAATTTGGTTAAAACGATGGTTGATCGATGGTATTCACTGCATTTTTGGCTTTAAACTCAGTCACAATAGTACACTTTTTGAAAAAAAATCAGCTTTATCGACGAGTCGAACAAGAACGCGTTTCGTACACAAAATATTCACCAAAATCATTCGAGCAAACTCGCGAGAGATGAAAAGCTCTATTATTATATCTGTAACACTTGCCTGACGATTTTCAAGTACCAAGAGTGAAGGATCATTTTTACATTTGCATCAGTTCAAAAGCGAGGCATGTATTCAACGATCTCTCGACCGTTTGTAAAGGCTTTGTAGCACTCGAAGGCTTGTGTTTTTGAATCACAGTGAGACTTTACAAAATTTTAGACAAATTCTTTGCTTGATATTTTTATCCATTGTAAAAATCACAACGCACTACTGAGATGTACCGATGTGCTGCTGTAAACAAACTGTTTAACAGAACGCGCTCATATTTAGCATAGTAATCAAGGACAGTCCAACTACTTAGCAAGAGTCTTTTTTCTTTGAAATAACATTTAGCCGGGAAATATAATAACAATTTCCGAGTGCTTTTTTGTCACAATGTACATTTATTTATCTTACTTTCTTTTTAATGTGCTCTTTTTTATATTTTTTTTAATGATAAGTTACGTTTATTGTTTTAGTAACTACGTTGTAAGCTTCTTTATTAAAAATTAAAAATATTTTTAAGTACATATTAAACAAATTTGTTTATTATATTTGTATAATATTAAATACTGTTATTTTGGTTTGCTTTAATCATTCGTTTTTAAATACGCTTATTTTGATTTTGTATACAATATACACACATAAGGACTGTACCGAAAAGAAACTGCACACTACGTTTTATTTGTAACGAAATTGACATAGTTGTTATTCAACAAAGACAAAGTGGAATGAGCGTATCGGGTCATAATAATGTTGTTTCTTATAAATTGGTATAAGACGATGGCTTAGAGTGTTCTTAAGGCCGCAGCAACAAACAGCCTGTCAGATGAATATTTTCCCGCAAAGTTTCTATTTCAATTGTTGACAATGACTGGTTGACACTACCATCTTTTGATTTCGTTTAGAAGCGGGGACCTTGTAATGTTCTTGAGTCCATTTTTACATACATATATCCATTATAATACACTCAACATAATATTTTGGCAAACAATTGTACAAATTCCGTAGCCTTTTGTTTTTGATACGTTTTCAAATTATTTCTCTGCTTATTTTTGTTGTCTTTCAACCATATTAGCACTAGTTTTGAGCTTTTTTTGCCAAATCGTGCACAGACTTTGGTTTATTTTGGTTCATTAAGACCAACACTTTTGGCTTCAAGATTTGGATCACTAGAGCCTTTTTTTACCCACTCTTTGATAAATCTTTTAGAGAGCAGGTTTCTTTGACCTGTATTACAATATTTTTCACACCTTTAACACTGACTTCAAACCGTTTTGCTAGCTTTATGTATGAAATGATTTTTTCGATGCAGTAATTGTGTACAATTTGCTTACGCACGTGCGCTTTGATACGAGGCATAGAGAAAATGATAATACAAATTACGGAGAAAGAAAAAACAATAGAAACAGAACTGATCACACTATGTAACCGTACTTACTACCAAGTGTTTACATGGCTACTTCATGAGAAATATTGAATTGAAGGTGTGCAGTTTCTTTTTGGTACAGTCCTTATGTACTATATATACATTTATATATTTTATTACTCATACATTTTTTCGAAAACACAATTTCAATAAGCATATTTATTTCTCAATTCTTTTGTCTAATACTTGATTTTATTTATTCTTTTACGCACTTGTATTTTTACATTATTTTTCATAAATTTATTTAAAAGCAT